GGGCTGATTGATATTCTATTCCCTGTATAGTGTACAGGCAGCCGGGGGGCACAACGGTTACTCCAACTCAATGATCAGTGCAGGGGGTTGTCTTTTTCCAAATGTATTGCTGAATAAACTTGGATGGGTTGCAGGGAGCTGTGGGATACTCCAGCAACACTTCACAGTAACCACTTGTCCCCCCCCCCCCCCCTCTTATGAGAAGGACATTTTTTTTTGCTATTTGGCACTGTGCTACTTTAAATGGCAATTGCAGGGTCATGCAACACTGTAAACAAATGAAATTGATATACTTTTTTTTTCACACAAATAGAGTTTCCTGTTGATAGCTTTCTTTTGATCACCACTGGGTTTCTTTGTGTGCTGTGAATGAAAACAGACCGAAAAAAAAATAAAAAAAATAAATAATAATATTTTATATATATATATATATATATATATATATATATTCTAAACACAGTGTTTGTGTGTGTGTATATGTATAAGTGTATATATATATATATATATATATATATATATATATATTTATTTTTACTTTTTGTCTTTTTTGATCACCACTGGGGTTTTTTTAAAATTGCACTATAAATGAAAAAAGACTGAAAAAAGAAATATATATTTTTATATATATATATATTTTTTATTTTTTTAAACAGTGGCTATATATATAGACATAGTTATATTTGTATATTTTGACTTTAAAACATATCCCGCAAAAAATAAAATTATTTTATATATATTATATATATATATATATATATATATATATATATATATATATATATATATATTTATATTTATTTGTAATTTTTTTTCTTTTGATCACCACTAGGTTTTTTTTTGCAATTGCGCTATAAGTGAAAAAAGACCGAAAAAAAGAAATATATATATATATATATATATATATATATATATATACATACATATATATATATATACATATATATATACACATACATATATATATATATATATATATATATATATATATATATATATATATATATACATATATATATATCTCCTAGATTGTAAGCTGGAAAGAGCAGGGCCCTCGATCCCCTCGTGTATTGTATTTTTACTGTATTGTCTCATGTATTGTCCCCCACTATAATGTACAGCGCTGAGCAAACCTTTTAGCGCTATTTAAATACTGTATAATAATAATAACAATAATATATATATAAATTATTTATTTATTTTTTGTAATATATAAGTACACACACATATATATATATAGGATTTAAATTATTTTATATATATATATATATATATATGTGTATGTGTATGTATGTTTATTTTTACTTTTTGCTATAAAACATGCCTCCCCCCCCCCCCCCAAAAAAAAAACAAGTAGGGGGAAAAAAAAAGATTCTTCATAAATTTAGGACAAAAGGTAATCTGCTCTTTGTTAAAAAAAAAATCCCAATAAGTTTATATTAATTGGTTGGCATGAAAATTATAGCGTGGAATTAAACAATGGCATAGATGCTGGAATCTTTTTCTTACCATGAGTGTTGTTTTTCCTGTTTGGGGGGTAAAAAAAAAAAAAAATGGTGTTGTGTTTCCCTTAATACCCCAATCAGACCTTCATCCAGGCCTGCAGGCCGGGTGGTCAAGAAAGGGAGGGCAATGATCATGTGTCCCCATCCCTCCTCTGCCATAATGGATTACATAGTTTTCAACATTATGGGATTACCATGAGGGGCAAGATCCTTTCCACCACCTCCCTGTACCCCAAAATGTTCGGTGTGGGTAATAGTGAGTCATGCCTTTTAACTTTCTGAGATGGTGAAAAGGAACACCCTTCAGTACAATATGTGTAGGCAAAGGGAACCCATCCTCCTTCCTTCCATGCTCTCTGTTACATGGACCATGAAGAATTATGAACCAAAAATGACTTGGCGTGTCCCAGAGATGCTTTTTCATCATCATATTTCTCTTGTAGTGGACTTTTAAATAACAATGCGATAATAAAACGTTTTATGTGAAGGTTTTAGTGTAGTGTGTCACTCTTGGTAGTTAAGTATTCCACTTGCTATAGACCCCCACACTTGTCCAAAAAAGGAGACAACTTCGAAAAGTGGGATAGTCCCTCCAAATGAGGGACAATTGGGAGGTAAGGGTAAATGTTGGCGTTGCACCCTCACCCATGGACGTGGTGGGATCTCTGTCGTGTACGCGCTCATCAATGCCTGGGATGAGGCGGTGCCGCATTCATGTGAGAGCCAACATTGAGACAAAACCTCAGCTTAGATACAGCTGTATGACCTACGGAGTCTCTCTGTAAAACATGTTGTCCCGTGTCACTACACACCCTTCAATCCAAATGTTGCATTTAGAACGGACTCCGCTGAGCCTACTCCCCCTCCACCAGAACAAGATCCCACTGCCACCTCACTCTGAGTGACAGAATGGGGTTACTAGCATGGACCTCAGGTGTGCTCACAACTAACTCTTTTTTCTCCCGTACCATGTGGTTGGATACATGGGGTCTGTGCACTTCAGGTTGGACCCCAGATACTTTAGGGAAACCAACTGCTAAGGAGGGAGGTGGGCTACCAACCCCTCCCGTTACTGGAACACCTGTCACCCAAGCTTGGTACTGCTCCCAAGTTCATGGTTACTCATGGTCTTTGCTCCCCTCTGTCTCTCTCTTGCTGAGTTAACCCCTTGTGACCAGCTTACTCTTCTACCCCAGATTTGTGCTTTAACAGGCCCTGTTCTTCCATATGCCATGTACCATCTTGAACCCCTTTCAAGTATCTTTAGACCAGGCTCAAGAACAGTTCAAGGAACTTTACTAAGAACTTCTGCAAGGTCACAAGATAAATTTCAAAGCTCAATCCTCCTCACTATCTACTGCATGGCTGCCTAGGCATACCTGTACAGATATGTTGGCTTTCAGCTCTCCAGACAGGACTTATCTGATCCCCAGGCCGAGACCCTGGGGATCAGACAAGTCCTGTCTGGAGAGCTGAAAGCCAACATGTTTTGGGGGCTCAGCACTTATCAGGGCTAAATTAACAAATAATATAGGCACCGGGATTGGAAAAGCCTAGCAATTACCATTTTCAGAGCAAGAATTTCATGTCAATGGGTCACGTGATGCTAGTCTCCGCCTTCGGGTGGATTTGATACGGCCCACTGTCATCATTTACTAGTCTATATAGGGAGAAGTGCAGACTCTTGAAGTGTTGGCTCTGAGGAAGAGGTTGTGTCCTTGAAATGCGTTAGCCAGTTGGTCATCCAGGGTTCCATCGTATGGACTCAGATGCTGTTTGGATCAAACATCTTGTTCAGTCTGACATGCCTGTGTTTTTATGTCCATATGTTACTTTGTTCTTTCAATAAATATTTTTAAACAATAATGCACTAGGTCGGTGTGCCCTCTTTTTTGTTTCTCAATTTGCATTTAGTGAATTTGGACCACCCCAGTCTGTAGAGGGCAGCAAGCGGTGCATATTCCAGAACATTCCTATTGGTTCCACTGAGTCCATTCCCAGCGCAGGAGAAAAGTGTTTGTTGTGTTGGATATACCTGTACAGGCATGAGTTCATAAAAGGTAGCATCCATTGCTGGCGGTTCTTCAGGTAGGTGCATGTTGATTGCATAGGCTACATCCTGCTGGTACGGACCTTGAATCTAGCTCCCGTGTGGTCCTTTACAGAACTTTGGGTTCTGGGCCTCCCTGGAATCCAGCTTTTTCCTATCATAAGAAGGAGGGCAGACCCAGAATAAGCCCGGGAAACTGGCAGGCCTAGCATTAACCCTTTCCCCCACCTGAGCAGCACAAATACCCCTAACTTGCACAACCACATTGTAGGTACCGGCCTACAGGAAGACCTATGGTTGAATCTGGAAGCCCCTTTGTAATGGAACCGTCCCCAGACTGCACTTGGGAACTTCTGATAGGATACCACTTCCCCATCCGAACACCGACAACAGACACCACAGTAGACCATACAGGACTAGATGACACCAGTCTGGAAGTAAACCAGGAAATAGACTACTTTATTTGAACACAGATACAAAATATATACATTGAAGGGAACAACCCCCCCCCTCCCTGCATAATTACACAGGGCGGGGCAATCTACATTTAGAAATGAGAGACACCAACAGACAGTCCCATCAGGAGGGAGGGCTGCTGGAGACACCCCCACCAAGCCATTACACATAAAGACATACATCCCATAATAGTTTGCTCCCAAGCAAGACATGCAATAGAACAATGGGATGCAACCACATAACATCAAACAATCAACAACCCCCCACCCCAATATTAGGACAGATAAGCCTGTACCTCTAACAGGCACAGGGTGACTTACACATAAGAGGGATATGGGGAGCTGAGACAGGAGTCTCCCCACCTCTCCAAAGTGAGCTGTGTTCCATGGGCCCCCCACCCAAAGTGACTCCCCGTCACACCCTTTTATAATGGGGGGGGGGTGACCAGATGACGGACCCCTTCCAGTGTAATGAATTCAGGGGTTCAGACAGCCCCTTATCCATTCCTACATTAGTTAAAAGTAAACAAAAACACTCACACTGAAATAAAATACATTTATTAAATAAAACATACTTAACGGCTTCTTAAATGAAGGTTTATTATTCTTCCAAGATGTAAATCCAGCATCAATAGCGGCACCCAGCAAGGTAATCCACGTCAATGACACCGTCCAGCTAGGTAATCCATGCCAATCACAAAAACCTGCTGCCACAGGTCGTTCTGAATCCAGTCAATGACATCACTCAGGTTTCCTGGTAAAATGTAACCATTTGAGCTCCAGAAAAGTTTTACCCCCTTCATGGCCAGGGCATTTTTTGTTATTCAGCACTGAGCTACTTAAACTGGCAATTACGCGGTCATGCAACACTGTACCCAAATTAAATGTATATATTTTTTTTTTCACACAAATAGAGCATTCTTTCCACTCACTTGTCAAAAAATAAAAGTCAGCAGCTACAAAAACTGTAGCTGCTGACTTTCACCCCCTTCCAGTCCGGACACTTTCACCCCTTTCCAGTCCGGACACTTTCACCCCTTCCAGTCCGGACACACATTCCCTCCCCCCCTTTCACCCCTTCCAGTCCGGACACTTTCCCCCCCTTCCAGTCCGGACACTTTCACCCCCTTCCAGTCCGGACACTTACACCCCCTTCCAGTCTGGACACTTTCACCCCCTTCCAGTCCGGACACTTTCACCCCTTCCAGTCCGGACACTTTCACCCCTTCCAGTCTGGACACTTTCACCCCCTTTCCAGTCCGGACACTTTCACCCCTTCCAGTCCCGGACACTTTCACCCCCCCCTTCCAGTCCGGACACTTTCACCCCCTTCCAGTCTGGACACTTTCACCCCTTCCTGTCCAGGCCAATTTTCAGCTTTCAGTGCTATCACACTTTGAATGACAATTGCGCGGTCATGCAACACTGTACCCATATGAATTTTGTAGCATTTTTTCGAGACAGATAAAGCTTTATTTTGATGGTATTTATTCACCGCTGGAATTTTAAATTTTTTTTTGCTATGTAAATGAAAGTCCAAAAATTTAGAAAAAAAAGTGTTTTTTATTATAAAATTTTGCAAATAAATAGTATTCCATCATAAATCTCAGCCAAAATGTATTCCGTTATATTTTTAGTAAAAAGAAAAAAACCTAAATTAGTTTATAACCAAAAATTATAATTTTTAAACTTTTTTTTACATGTTTATTTTTTTATATTATTTATGTTTTTTTTTTTTTTAAATACTGTCACCCTAGCAGTACAGTGTCACCATTTGTTTTTTACATTGATTGCTTATACACCATAAAAGATGTAAAAGCAATCATTTCTCTTTCTCTCTGTCTGCATTCTTGCAGTCATTGAGCAATACTGTGTGAGCTGTGATTGGTCACAGCTTGTCACATGGTACAAGGCTGTTGTGAATGGCCCTGTACCATGTGACCTTGGTGATAATTCACAGATTTCACACGTAGTAAGCAATGATTTTAGAAGTGACATCTTGCTTACTACTCTGCATATGATCACTGATTGGCCAATAAGTGATCACATGATCAGGACATCACACAGAGGTCCCATCAGACGATCGGTGTTTCACTGTGTCCTGAGGACACAATGGGCACTGGATCGCGGTGCTGCACGCTCCCAGGGAGCACGCACAAGCAGGGTGCGGGGAGGCCGCTTATAAACGGCCACCCAATCCTGCACTGCCACTGTCCGGTCGTTTATATACAACGGCCGGACGGGAGGTGGTTAAAAAACAGCCACTTACCTGTACCTTGGTCCCATGGTGTGTCCCCCACAGTCCATTTCACCGGCCGTCCTGTATTCCTGGAGGCCTGTATCTTCAGTGTGGGCACCCGGCTGTGAAAACTTGCGGCTTCACAGCCGGTTACCCACTGCGCATGCGCGAGTAGCGCTGCGCTTCATGAATGGTCCTGTAGTCTTCTGGGACCTGTCACGTGTCCCAAAAGACTACAGGACGGGAGGGAGGGAGGACACCTTGCCTAGGCAATCGGACCGGTAATGGGAGCGGGTACCTGTCAAATTCGGGTATACGCTCCCCCCCACCCCCCAAAGGTGCCAATCCTTAATGGGAAGCGGGCGGAGCAGTCCTTAAAGCGGAACTTCCCCTTTTGGGTGGAGCTCCGCTTTAATCACCACTGGGGCTTTACATTTTTTTTTATTATGTAAATGAAAAAACAATCAAAACTTAAAAAAAATATATATTTTTTTTACTTTCTGCTATAAAACATATCCAACAAAAAATGTAAAAAAATTGAATTTCTTCATAAATTTAGGCCAAAATGTATTCTGCTACATGTCTTAGGTAAGAAAAAAAAATTCAGTAAGTGTATATTGATTGGTTTGTGTGAAAGTTGGAATGTCTACAAACTATGGTATATATACTGGAATTCTTATTTAGTGATCAGTGACCTATTGTGGGACTGTGCAGCGGCCAATCTGATGCTAGCTGAAGCTGGGTGGGGACTGATTACCTGACACTGCTGATACACTGTGCTAATGACACTGGCTGGGAAGAGGTTAACACCTAGAGGCAATGAAAGGGTTAACTGTGTGCCTAACAAGGTGTAATGTGTGTAAGGTATGCTGCTTTTACTAAGAGATGCGACTGCTTTTTTCTCCCTGCTTTGCAGGGCATAAAAACAGTCCCTGTACAGAGTCCTGTGTTGTTAGATTCACTGTGATTAGATTCACTGTGATTCACTAAGCCAATCAACATGTCCTGGTCAGGGGTGAACCAACCATTCAAGCACTCCGGCACTGCCGAGGGCCCGGGGTCAGTAGGGAGCCCCATGAGATGCCCCTGGTACCTTTCATTTTTTTTTTCATAGGCCTATTTTGGGTGTGGGCAAGGACACGGGGCCCCATTTTCCCCTATTCCCCGGGGGCCCCATGGGTTGTCAGTCTGCCCCTGGTCCTGGTCATAAATCATTGGCCGGACCTGCTGACCGACTTGTGCTGTAGTGAATGACAGCACAGATAGGGCGACAGGTGCGTGCACGCATCCTATCCAGAAATGCTAGATCACGTAGAAGTAGGTGATCCAGTGCAGAGAGGCAGCCCTGGCGCAGTAAAAGTACATAGGGCCTTCTGCAAGTGGTTTTCAACTACCACGGTCTGGAATCTGTCATTTAGCAGTGGGAGCGCAGTGTGTACAACCCACCCAAATTTTCTCTCCATGAACTTGACAATGGAGTTCAGATTGGGGTTCAGTGTTGTTGACAGTTTCCGGCCTGTTTTTCTGATCTGCCATTGAATGAGGCACAAATGGGTTTGAGCAAAACTAGACATGAACCACAATCAGGGGCGGACTGACCATTCTGGCTCTTGGGCACTCAGGCAGAGCCAGAATGGTCAGTCCGCCCCTGGTTGTGGTTCATGTCTAGTTTTGCTCAAACCCAATTGATCTGCCATTGAATGAGGCACAAATGGAGTTTGAGCAAAACCGGGGTCAGTAGGGGGCCCCATGAGATACTCCTGGTACCTTTCATAGGCTGTTTTGGGCGTGGGTGAGGATACAGGGGCCCCATGATCCCCTATTGCCCAGGGGGGTCCCATGAGTTGCCAGTCTGCCCCTGACCACAACCCTTCCTTGTTGTATTGATATACGGCTGTAACGTTGCAAAGAGTGGACTTAGCCTTTAATCTCATCAGCCCCCCAGCAATGATAAATAAAGAAAAGAAAACTAGTATAGGGAACGTAAGAGCTAAAAATATATGGGACCCTACTGGGAACTCAATACATTTGTTTTATTAGTTATTTAGAATCTGCACAAAAAAGACCAACTGCTCCTTGCAATAGCAATTTTAATGAATCAGTAATATTGATTGACATATTGATCAGAGAAATCTGACCTTTTTTCTGCGTTGGTACTTCAGAAGATATAGGATATTCAGACGTTCTTGCAAAGACTGGGCCATGATTGTAAAATAAAGAAAGAAAACAGCCCATTTAGGGCAAGGTGACAAAATCCCTGTAGAACTCCATCCCAATCCAAAATCCCCGTAGAGCCCCAACACAACCAATACCCCAAATCTCTGCAAAACCATAACCCATACCCAAAATCCCTGTAGAACCTACCCAAAATCTCTGTAGAACCTAAATCCAACCCATACCCAAAATCCCTGTAGAAACTAAATCAAACCCATACCCAAATTCCCTGTAGAACCCAAACCCAACCAATACCCCGAATCCCTGTAAAAACCCCAACTCAACCAATACAAAAAATCCCTGTAGAACTTCAATCCAACACATGCCCAAAATCCCTTTAGAACCCCAAATCCAACCATATACCCAAAATCCCAGTAGAACCCCAACACAACCAATACCCAAAATCCCTGCAGAACCCCCAACCTATACCCCAAATCTCTGTAGAACCTCAATCCAACCCATACCCAAAACTCCTTGTAGAACCCTGAATCGACCCAACCAAAATCCCTGTAGAACCCCAACCCAAACTAATACCCAAAATCCCTGAAGAACCTCAATCCAACCCATACCCAAAATCTCTATAGCTCCTCAATCCAACCCATACCCAAAATCCCTGTAGAACCCCAACACAACCCAATCAATGGTACTCTGTTGCTCCATCAGATATGGGTATGGAGGAGCATGTGACCAGTATGCAGTGCTCGGGGCCTCAGTAGCCAACCAACAGACCTAAAACACTGTCACATGAGAAAAGGGTGGACTTCACCAACTTTTGTGTAAACTCCAACATCATCCAACACAGAGATTACACCGATCTTGGACAGTGGTAAAACGGGAGCAGTGGGGGAGCGTAACAAAGGTGAATAAAATTGGGTCAATGGCCAAATATTGTAAGCGACGGTCTCTTTAGGAAAAGGAGTCATTTTTCTTCTGGCCTATAAAATATGTATTCACGTCAGCTAACAGAAATGTTATGTTAAAACTTGCAAATGGAATAAAATGGCTGCGTGAAACTTACTGTATCTTGCTTTTGGACATCCCTTAAAAAAACAAAAACCAGGAAGTTTGAAAATCGATCGAACAGTTATATTAATTGTGTGTGCTCTGTAGTGGAACATCTTGGAGCTTACGTGATCATAACTCATGTTGTAATTGATCCTTTACCGGCTATTGACCGGTATAAAATTGCCGCACAGCGTGAAACGTTCCGTGTTCCTCTACCTCAGTTCTGGAGAGGTTATACGGAACATTAATTTCTTGACCATGATACATTAGCATCCTACCTGTATCCATCATTGACATTCATGCTATGTGTGCATTTTATTTCTTGGCTCGGAAGAAAACACATGGAACGCGGATCACCCGGGTTGTTCTTCAAAAATTATAAAGGAACCACGCTTTAATTAAATGTATTCTTTTACCTGGAAATAAAAATGCATCTTATTAGCTTTGTAATAATAATAATATGTTTCAAGGGAGATGTATGAGAAAGGACCCCTTGAAGGGAATTTTGGTGCATTATGGGTTATTACATCTGAAACCCCCGAAGGGGGACGCCCAAGAGGGGTGAGGAAGGACCCCTCGAAGGGAATTTTGATGCATTATGGGTTATTACATCTGAAACCCCTGAAGGGGGGACGCCGAGGGGTGAGGAAGGACCCCTTGAAGGGAATTTTGATGCATTATGGGTTATTACATCTGAAACTCTGAAACCCCTGAAGGGGGACGCCGAGGGGTGAGTAAGGACCCCTTGAAGGGAATTTTGATGCATTATGGGTTATTACATCTGAAACCCTGAAGGGGACGCCGAGGGGTGAGGAAGGACCCCTCGAAGGGAATTTTGATGCATTATGGGTTATTACATCTGAA